CAGATTTTTGACTGTATTTCCTCAAATGGGGTTTAAAGATAGGAATTAAAAACTTGATTTGAGTTTTTTATCTTATCAAGTGCCAACTATCTTGTCTTGCCCAAAGTTGATTTGGAACAAAAGTGCAAGTCACCCTATATATATATATATATATATATATATATATATATATATATATATATATATATATATATATATGCAGGGAATATCAAAAATACGTTTACTAAATTTGGGGGTGTCCTCACACCAAAACAAGGACAAAAGTCCATATAAACATATGTCAGCAAAGCCTTCGTTTTTGAGTTATTAATTTTAAAGTTTACGGTAGTCGCTGTTAAATGTACAATCGGTCTTCCTCGATCCAGAGTTTCTGGTGCTACGGATCCTGTCTCAGCAAAGGTTGGATGACTTGGCTGCCTTCGGTCTATTCTGTATGCAAAAATCATATCTGCCTGCTCACGGTATGAATATCCTGCCATTGTTAAACGGAACACTTCTTAGTTAACTCACTACTACACATGATAAACGTTGAAGAGAGACAAGACACAAATGTACACGAATGACAAATGTAACCTAGTCTACATGACAACACGGCACCATCTAACGTAAACTTTCTTTAAACTCAGAAAAAAAAATTTGGTGACATATGCTTATATGGACTTTTCTCGTTGTTTTGGTGTAAGGAACCCGCCTTTAAAGTTTGAAAAAACTTATTTTTGCTACACTATATATATATATATGTGTGTGTGTGTGTGTGTGTGTGTGTGAGAGAGAGAGAGAGAGAGAGAGCGTGTGTAAACGTTACGAAGTAAGTGTACATTGAAGAAAAAAGCGACCTAAAGGACAAATAATCTCGATTCCCTACATGTACTCACATCCGCGCAGACGAGATAGAGAGAGGTTATATATATATATATATATATATATATATATATATATATAAAGATAGATATTTGTGTCACATATCTTCCACGTGATGTATTATATGTCTAAATGATTAGGAGAAGACTAAGAACAATAGACTATCGTTATAATCATAGAAATAAGATCATGATTCGTCGCTTTGTCAGCTGTAAACAACAATACTTTCAAAGTAATGTTTTGTCATCGTGACAGTGTAAAGAAATCTTGTTTATGAAAATGCAGTGATGCATTAAGTAGATAATCCAATATTAAGTACGAGGCCAATTTGACATGATCTCAGCTACACAGGAAATCTTATTAGTATGTAGTTCAGTTAAAAAATTCCATTCAGTTACTTTTTTTTCTTTAATGTTGGCGGAAAGTATGAATATTCTTGAAGTTTATTCGGCAATCTATTGTTTTACGTTTGGATTAAAATGGTAAATTAAAAAATCAGAGACGAATATAAAATACATGTTCTTGTTTATCTTTCAAGTTTAATTTGAGAGAAAAAAAAAGACAACAGAAGTTTGAAACGGAATCACTGAAGTTGTGGGTATAACGATAAACTATGTCCAGCACTTAGGCCTCTGATCGAGAGATTGGAGATTTTGAGGAACGTAGAACTACCTCTGAATTGCTGTTGTTCCCAGGTTAAACTTGACCCGGAATAGTAGCACCTGTTAGGGTCCCAGCTATGGAAAAATAGTAACACCACCAAACAAAACACCATGAAAGTATAAAAATACATTTTTATAATTAAAATACCAGCAATGCATATATATATATATATATATATATATATATGAGAAAACAAATATATATATGATTCCAACAAAAATTTCGCTTGAAGATGGAACGGAGCCCATTTTAATTTAAACTCAATTTAATTTAAAGGATTATATTGAAGTTTTCGGCTCTTGTTTTGAAACATGAGACCTCTTATGTAGCGATTTGGAATCATATTTTAAATAAATTTTTAAATATATAATATATATATATATATATATATATATATATATATATAAATTACATATAATTACAAATATTACAAATATTCGTACACATACGAATTTTAATTTATTGTATTTCCGACTAATGAAAAACATAATTTTCATATAATTAACTGTACACAGATGCATAACAACTAAATATGCATAGAAAACAGAAAAAAAATTTGATTTAATAGAAATATATTACATTTATCCATTTTAATGCATGAAAAAAGTATTCGTGCAATGCAAATTTCAGATTTGAAAACTTTTAAAAAGTTTCAATACTCTAGATTTTTCAAGTGGAATATTCTAGAATGTTCCAATAATGTAATAAGTAATTATTTTTAGCCTAAAAAATACAAACAGAACATTTTGTAATTGATATTCGTGCAAGAAGATTATCATCATGGCAAGAGGTAAAGAATTGACAAATTCGCAAAAACAACTGATTGTTAAGCTCTGGAAAGAAGGTAAAAGTTACGGGAAAACCTCAGACAACCTGGACATTCCATTTACTACAATTAGTTCATTCATTGCAAGGTATAAAAAGCTCAAAACCGTTGAAAACTAAAGAAGAACGGGTTCTCCACGGAAGATTTCTTCAATATCTCCGAGGAAATTAATGCATCAAATTAAAAAAGTCCAATCAGGAATCTGTGTCGCTAGACAGACAACAAGCAATGAAATTCATAGGAACAATCTAAAGTCATGCTCCTCTTGGAAAATTCCACTGTTATTGAAAAGACACAGATATGCCAGTTTGAAATTCGTTCGTGAACATAAACATAAGGAAAAATCGTATTGAGAAAGAGTATTATGGACAGACGAAAAAAAATTGAGTTGTTGGAAATTATGTATGGAGGAAACAAACAAAAGAATACAGTTTCAACAGTGAAATTTGGTGGTGGCAGCATCATGGTTTGGGGATGTTTTTCTGCAAAAGTACTGGCAATATATGGAGCAAAATACGAACTAAATTTTGCAAATCATTAATTGAGAACTACAAGAAGTGGTTGGTTGCTGTAGAAGTGAATAATGGCTATTCTACAAAGTATTAAATGAAGATTATATAATCTTTTTTTGTATTGTACGAATTAAAATGGATAAATGGGATGTATTTCTATTAAACCAACTTTTTTCTTTTTTTATTAAACCAAATTTCCAGAAAATTTAATTTATAGCAAAACCACCAACAATACATTTATCTGTAGTTGAAGGCATATAATTGTGTTAAAATATATTTATTTGAAGCCATAAAATTGTTTTAGATTTCAGCATAAATAACCCATAGAGGTGTTAATATGTCGCTAAAAATCAACCAACCAACATGAGAAAAATTCTGTTTATATTTCATGACTTTAATCCATATATTATCCTACAATTTTTTTTAAAGAAATCAAACTGTATTCCAAAATATAACTGCAACAAAAACTACAAAATAAAACATGCATATCATCACCTCTATTAATTGGGTCTACACAAGCATGTAGATGCACAAAATCTGATTATCATCTGCCATGTATTCAATTGTAAAAGCAGAATAACATATTTTTATTACGTCAAAGTTAATATCTGTATTAAATGACCCAAAAGATGTTGATGTGCCATTAAAAAACAAAAAAACAAATCAAATTTGTCATTTATACAGCAATGGTTTGTGAAGATCCATAATAAAACCTGATTTTGATCTTATGACAAAGCTCGGGAAGATCTCAAAATTTGAAAACTGATAAACACTTGAAAGAAGACGTAAATTTTATTTTATCGCATTCACTCCATGCAAAGCAGTAAAGCCATTAAGACACAAAGAGTTACTGGGTGTGGGAGAATTAGAAAAGACAAACATTATAATGGAGCGAGATCAATAGACGAGTAATCAGGAAGACACTAAATAACGATTGATATTTCATTTAAAATTTTTGATGGTTAAAGTTGGCTGGGAAACATGGAGCCGGAAGGGTGTTCCACAATCGAGAGAAGAAACTATTAGCATAGAACATACGGTCACATCTAACCAATTCAACTATAAATTGATGAGACCATGTTGCAAGTCTAGTACTGGGCTTATATTCATACAGTTTAGGTACCATGGTGAAGAACTCATCCGAACAATTATATTCAAAGTATTTATAGAAAAGGCACAGGGAAGCAACTTTACGGCGTTATAAATAGTATGTGGTTTTGAAGAAAAAATGGAGTACAATAAGTCAACTCATTTGAATGGTGCGCAGGAAAAAGGCGGGAAATCGATCAATCACCATACTGCATTGTTCAAACATGGCAAATGGGATGTAACAATCATGATGCTGTTACGGGAAATTCTTTTACATCCCGTATATTTTCTAGACCTCTCACTTTGAGACTAGATTTTGTAGACATCTCACCTCGAGACAATTGTTTATCTTTTCGATCCGTATAAAATTTTCTTTGCCCAGCGGTTCTAATAATTTGAACATGACTAAAAATGAATCGTCTCTGAACAGAAATCGTTCTTTTATGATGTCACACACAATTGAACTGAAAGGCAATGCAACGTGGATATATCTTAATAACTAAACAATAATGCTATGAATTTATGTGAATAAGAAGTGTACATCAATCTCATAATTAAGGAACATTATTTATATTCACGGCCCTTTTTAGGTAAGCGATCAGTCCGATTGTCGGAGGACAGATTTTATACAAAATTCATCTCGACTAAATAATAAAAAGATTCATATTCTCAAAATATCATTTATGTGTGAATTTTGGTGTCAACTTAAGTTGCTATTTTTTTTAATGTTAGGATAGAAAGGGAGAGACAATATTTCGTTTTTTACGGCTTATCAACCCATTGCAGGTTATTTAAAGTCAGAAAATATTTTTAGATTGCAAATCTTTTTTGAGAGAGAATAATAATTTAATTTACAAGTCTACAAGAATAATAATTTAATTTACAAGTCTTACTAATTAACCCATAGCTGGGGGTAGAAGAGGTAGATTCATACCTTTCCCAAGGGTATTTGCGCGTAAATGAATATAACGAAATCAACGGGAATTGGAACTCGGCTCTCCGATTAACAATTCCGAACCAATATCCATTATACCACCCGCACATCCGAGCTTACAGTACCTAGTATTCCCAAGTGGTAACTCATCTAGGTAGTGACCAGACTCGACGTTGCTTAACTTCGGTGATGGTACAGGGACCGGTGTTTCAATGTGATACAGCCGTAAACGAATGATACAAAAAAAAATCAATCTGTTGTATTCTAGTACACTTACATGCCTTTTAGTTTACTAACTAGCATGTCTACATGCATTTATATCTTGGTCAGCCAATGAACTTCACAGCCGAGCCTTGTATATACTATGTAACTAATGAAAAGTGCTCCCAGTGACTGTGATCCCAAATGCGGTCGGATTTGATTCATAGACGTGAACCAGCTGAAGTTCTACCCGGTGTGAGTGTTCAAATCCGCTTATAATAACTGTAAAACGATTTTGTCAGTACTGATGCTAAGTTGGTCTGCTTAATGAAACAAAACATAAATTCATTCTCCCAAACCAGTTACAAGATGGAAGACAGAAAAATATAAAACTGAGATAAAATATTTTTTACAATTTTTGTTGGGCGTTAAAATATGTGTTCGTTTAATTATTCACGTGAATCAAATTTTCCTGTCATCAATATTTACGACCATGTTCATTTACATTTTTACAATAAGTGTGTTAGTCTATATATATATATATATATATATATATATATATATATATATATATATATATATATATTAGTGAATATTCATAATATCCCACGTTGATAGGACGATTCGAAGTTTCATACAAACACGCAATCTTCAGGTACAAAATACAGAGTGAGTATTTTGCACCTGAACCTTGCGTGATTGCATCAAACTCCGAATCGTGCTATCGATGTGGGACATTATGTATATTCATTAATATATACTTATATATATATAGCTCTGTTAAATAACATTGAGCACTGTTTTTATAATACCTGAGAAAGAAATACATATGTATGTAAAAGTATATGTGCTTGTACGTATTTTTATTATACCCATATATATATATATATATATATATAAACACACACATATTTACATGCGTGTGTGTGCGTGCGTGCGTGCGTTTGTGCGTATTTATGCATGTATAACTTTTGACCCCTGCAAATATTTGCAAGGGCCTTCAAACACAACACAATTGAAATTTATTTACAAAAAAAATCTGTAAATATTTCCACGAATATTTTCTTTTTTTTATATATATATATATATATATATATATATATATATATATATATATATATATATATATATATATATAACATTTTTAAATGAATTTAGCAATCTTATATTCGTAATATAATATATATATATATATATATATATATATATATATGGATATATATATATATATATACATGCACACACAGACATATATATATATATATATATATATATATATATATATATATATATATATATATATATATATATATATATCCACTCCTATATATATATATATATATATATATATATATAGGAGTAGAGGCTTATCTCTTGTTTCTTGTTGGTTTTACGGTCCCTTCTAATGTAGTTTCCTTCTCTTTCAATTCCAGTAGACCCTTTGCGTCTTAGTGGACTCATTGCCTTGTTTTTGGTGATTTTTTTTTTAAATAAATATGAATATTTAATTAAAAGCAACGAAAGTTTTTTTTTTCATTTACAACTACTGAATACAAAACAAGTAGAAAATTTAAAAATTGATACATACATGAATACAAATGTCATAAGATATACATATGGCGTCAAATACTGAAAACAAAACAACCAAAATATTGATATCTACATGACCACTAAAGCTATAAGATATACACATGACGTTAATACAACCAATGAAAACAAAACATTTAAAAATTGATACATACATAAGCACTAACACCATAAGATATACAACGGACGTGTACACAACCAAGGAAAATAAAACAAGCAGAGAATTTACAAATTGATACATACATAAGCACTAACACCATAAGATATACAAAGAACCTCTACACCAGTAATGAAAACAAAGCAGTAAAATTTTCTTATAAATTTAAATTAATCGCAAAACGTTAATTTTTTTAAATTATCTTATTTGTCCCTTATTTAATCATTCTGTAAGATTCAATTCAAGTTTGAAACTCGTAGATTTATTTCTAAATTTAGAATACACATTGGTTATATTTAAAGATACATAACTCATCCTTGACTGAAAAATTGTTGCAATTGAATCTTCTGTTTCTTCCTTGTGCACATCTCTTTCTTAACTCTACCATACATACTTTATATGAATATCACTAATCTTGTTTTTTCTGCCATTATAAATGCATATGTTAAAATGAATTATTAAACAGTTTTCATTTCTATTTTCGATGACTTTTTTTTTCACACGATCTAAAACCTTTTAACTCGTAAGTTTTTCTTTCTCCTAAACATACCCTGTTCCGATGACGTTTCATCTACCCGTGTTTAGATATAAAAAAATTATGAATTGGAAATAAGAAAAGAGCAAGTCTATAAAAAGATTGGTTTGTTTTTCTTTTGGGGGACTAACAAGAATTTATTCTTATGAATACAAAGATGAAGTTATTGTCTTTCTTTTATGCTTCAATGGACATCTCAGTATAACACACGAAAAATATCCATTCAACTATTTTCTTTAAATCTTTAAAATATTGAATATATTTCTATTGAAAATTTTCTCTAACAGCTCCAACTAGTGTTCCATACAGTCCACCTTTCATGTCAGTCTCACGGCATCAAAATTTGTTTTAAAACTGTACAGGAGGTCTTTGACTTGCGTTGGAGATCCGTTCCTACTGCGCGACGTAACCTGATTTTCGACGTGAGTCGGAACTCACCTGCATAAGCACTTATGAGTATGCCTTACGCGTGGGAGCCATAATGAAAGGCAAAAAGTTCCACCAACGAGAGATAGCAAAGGTAGTACAATCCAATATGTCGTACAACCAGTGAAGAAACAACGCCGTCTTGCTCATATAGCAGTGCGTGACGATATATTATATTATGGGAGATGGCGTTATAACCGCGAAACGCCGTACATGGGTCCGGCGTAACTCGAGGACTTTCTGTAAACAATTGCTACACATTTGACATTCGCCGAAACTCATTCCAATAAAAGAATATCGTCTCTGTAAAAACGAAACACGTGTATGTATATATATATATATATATATATATATATATATATATATATATATATTCTATCAAAGTCAACAACCAGAGGCGATAGCCAGTTTCATGCTTGAACCAAAACATCAGTAAGCCATAGCATATCTTAAAACCATATTTTATCACACACATACACAGACACACACACACAAAGACAAACACACACGCACACACACACACACACACATATATATATATATATATATATATATATATATATATATATAATAATCTACTAGAAATTGCTTCTAAGGAATTATTAAATAGAATGCGTACTTCTGGACAGGTGAACTTCCTTTACTCTTATTTTACCACCTATGGATGTGTCGACACGTATTTGCTTCGCATCAGACACGCCCAGGATTTTTTAAATTCCTTTCCTTTTCTTTTTTTTTACGAAATCCCCACCCTAGCCTTTTAGCTATTCAGAACAGGACAACATAGTTAAGGTGTGTTCTATACCCTATCAATATATATCATATTCACATATTTGACCTTCCCCTTTATTACCAACGCAAGTTCCACGGACAAAAAAAATCGGATGTATTTGTTAAAGAGTGAGAGCTCCGAGTGGTGACTCATAAGCGCGTAGCAAACATCATTTACCTAAGATACTAAGAATGGGTCGTCTTATCAAATCGTTGAGAACATATTGCTAATAAATATAATCCTGTCAAGTACATAGAAAGAGAAGGGCCATTGACAAACAGTGGATAAAATAGGCGTTTTTACTCTCTCTCTCTTCTCTCTCTCTCTCTCTCTCTCTCTCTCACACACACACACACACACACACACACACACAAGTATCTTTTCATGTTCTTTTATTAAAAAAATCAGGTTTCCTGGTATTGCCCTGGGTAAAGTAACTTTCAGAATTATTTTCCAATCGTGGATTTTGGCGAAAATCCCTGCTTAATGCCAAATAAACGATAATATAATTATAATATTATAATATAATCATATTATAATATATAATTATATATATAATTATATTATTATAATATATTATAATATATATATAATTATATAAATAATTATATATTATAATATATATATAATTATATATATATAATTATATTGTTATAATATATTATAATATATATAATTTTATATATAATTATATATTTTAAATATATATAATTATAATATACAATTATATATTATAATATATATAATTTATTGTTATAATATATTATAAAATATATATAATTATATTATTATAATATATTATAATATATATATAAATATATATATAATTATATATTATAATATATATATATAATTATATATATATATATTGTTATAATATATTACAATATATATATAATTATATTATATTATATATTATATATAATTATATATCTTACAATAATATTATATAATTATATTATAATATATAATATAATATATATCATATATAATATATATTATAAAAATATAATATAATTATATTATAATATAATATAATTATAATATTATAATATAATATAGATAATACCATTGTATGAGTAATAAATAATTTATGGAATGTATTATATAATCACGCTCATCGGATGATTAAATTTTAACGCCTCCAAATCTAAACTTCTCATCATCAATCATCTGAGAAACCCCTCTCTGCCTTCCATCAGTATGGCTAATGCTAACCCACAGGAAAGTTATTTCTTGCGCCTTCTCGAGCTAACGTTCTCAGTTGACATAAAGTGGAAAGATTATATTGAATCCATTGCTAGGTGAGCTGTTAAGGAAGTCGATTCACTGTGTTGGGCGAGAGAATTCTTCTCTTCTGAATTTATCTTGTATATCTATAAGTCAATCATTCGCCCATGCTTAGAATATTGTTGCCATATATGGTCCGGTGCCCCTGTATTTACCTGGAACTCCTTGATAAGATCCAAACAAGAATCAGTAATATTATTGGTTCTAATTTGGGGGCTCGATTTCTGTCACTTTTCCCACCGCCTTAAGCTTGCCCATCT